AAATGACTTGCTCTAACACATATTTGTTGTTCATGGGTATATATGAGAAGATTGATAGCTTTGGAATGGACGTTTTCTAGGTAAAAGTGATTGAATGGCACTCACACTGCTTTGGGGATCAATCCTGCATCAGAGAGACCAAAAGTGCCACTTTTGGGGGTTGTGGTCAAAAATCCTACAATAAAATTGTAAACGCACCCCCCAATTTTTTTGCAGCTGTTGAAAGATATCATCTAAGTCATATTCAATGCAATATTCTGTCCCAATAAAATTTTGAATTTAAATTTATTTTAGCTAATGGACAAAAATGCAATTTTCGTTGCCAAAGTTGGCCAAAATCAAATGTTGAATTGGAAATATGGTCACCCTTATAAATGGTGTTCATTTACAATCGACCATTATAATCAGAAGTGAACTGCCTTGCCAAACCTGCTTAATCTTTGATTTCACCTTCAAGATTGTGTAGCCACATTCCAAGTCCAACATCAAAATGCCAAGAAGACAATGTCCAACTTGCAAAAAAGTGTTCACCTCCCTACTCAACCATTGGGAACAGCGCCCCAGTTGTGATCTACCACTCACTTTACCACCCGCCCTTGCATCAACAGAATCTGAGGTTGTCGAAATGACCATCAATGCAAGCCCTCCAGATTCCCCCCCACAAAGTCCAAACCAGCAGGAAGTGGGATGGGATCCCAGCAACGATGACCATTCACAGCAACCAGAACAAGAAAAGTTGCCAACGATCATACGACGCACCCGAAGAGCCGCCCCACCTATATTGTCACCTGACGACATACAAGACGATGATTACGAACCGGACAGTGAACTGGGTGACTTCATTAGTCCCTTCTCCTGTCATCTTGTCTTGGAGGAAGAACAACACTATGAACATTTGCCTCTAGACCAATCTTCACCGCACGTTCTGTGCGTGAATCAGACGTTTCCTGGCCCAGCTGACCACAGCAGCATTCTTGCCCAAGCTACCCCCCAAGCTGCCACTCAATTCACTGACAATACAGCTTGTACCACCTTGGGTAATCTCCAATTCAATATGGGCCTTGGACAATGTCAAAAAGTATCAATGGTAGAGCAACTTCAATATGACATCTCGGGAATCTCTGACGAAGACCGTTTCCTTGCCACCTTTCATCATAAGTGCCAGCAGGCTGGGGCACCCCGATATCTCTCAGAAGAGCTGCTCCGCTTAGTAAGTGATGAATCACTCAAGGGCAATATTGATTTTACAGCTCCAGAATTCAACGTCACCCGCAAGCCAGTCCTCAAAAGGCTACAAGAGGTTATGCAGACAGAGCCTGTTGAAGAGATCCCAATCACCCTGGAATCTGGCTTCAAGACCACCATCTACAGGTTGAATTTTTTGGACATGATTACTCGCCATCTAAGGGGCAGCCTTTTTGCAAATCTACATGATATTAGCCTACCAATAAAGGATGGTCACAACCCCTTTGCTGACATGGCAGCCATCCCGGAAGCATGTGACTACAAGGACCTTACTGATGGTCACTGGTATCAAGAAGCTGTAAAGATGTACCTTGACTTGCTCAAGACCGGCAAGTACAAACTGCACCCCTGGATTATATATGGTGACAAAACTGGGACGGACAGAATAGAGAAGAACTCCTTGGAACCATTTGCCATTTGCTCTGCCGAGCTTACCATAGAAAAAAGAGGAGACGCTGATAGTTGGATGCTGCTTGGATACATCCCAAACCTGAAGACTGTACACAAAGAAGCTTCAAAATCTACTACCACCAACTCCCGCAGTATGACTCCCCGTGACTATCACCACTGCCTTGCCATACTTCTTCAGCCATTGAAGGACCTCCAAAAAGAGCGCCCAATGCTGGCCTTCCGTCGAGGTGAATACATTGCTCACTATAAGATCATTGCCCCAGTGATGGCTGTCATTGGCGACAACCTGAGCAATGACGTTCTTTCACAAAGGATGTTGGACAACACAGAGAGCGCCAAGCGATTGTCCAGGCGCTGTTTTTGTCTCCCCAGTGAAGCAGATAAGCCCATTCATAAATGTCACCTTATTCAATTATGGATGATAAGGAAACTGTCGCTTGGCTCTCTCAGCGTCACCTATGGCAGGCAAGACGACCCTGCTGAAAGTGCCCCTTTTAATTTGAATCACTTGCAAAACCTGATAGTAGAGAGCCAAAATTTTGGTCGATGGAAGACCTACCTTGATAACCAAGGTAGATCAAATAATTCACGTCACGACGCGGTTTCTGTTAAGAAAAATCGGGCTGCCATATGTGATGCCATTTTGAAAGAAGTTTTTGGTACCCATTCTCTCTTAAATGCCTTCGATGGATGCGACCATGGACCTACCGTCAATGGCATTCTTGAGCAAACCCGTGTGGACATCATGCACACAATTGACGAAGGCGCAATCCCAATGCTTTTAGAAGTACTATTTGGATTGATGTCAGATGGAGATAGGAGCAAAATTGACGCTTATGTCAACTATGCCTTTGGTCGTCCTGGCACAAATAGAAGTGGTGAGACGGATCGGTATCCACGTATTGCCTTTCGCCAAGGCTTTACCAAACTTACCAATCTCAGTGCATCTGAGAGATTTGGCCAATTGTTCTTGGTTTCTATACTTCTGCAGACCAACCGGGGGGTGGAGCTTCTTCAGCCCCGTTTTCAAGATGACTTTGATATTAATAGGATGAAAGAAACAAGCAGCAATGACACTTTTTGTGACCAACAACTCAACCACCGTGACGAGAGCAGTTCCATAGGACCCAATACTGACGCCGACAACACTTTAAATGCTCGCCCATCACCCAATGCCAGCACCAAGAAGGCCACTGACAAGCTACCTTGGGATGAGATAACTGCCTTTCTTACATCCATTCAACTGGATTATGTGCATGAACGGATCTATCCATCTCTGCCATTGCATCACCAGGCTCTTCTCGTGACAGTACTCCAAAAAATGATCAAACGTAACTGGGTGGAACGGGCCCAACGATTTCCTGACCTACCCAATCTTGACTACATTACCTACTCCTTGAACAACCTTCCAGTGCCGCCATCTTCTGTAGTCACCTCAACATTGACGCCAACCCCCAAAATGTTGGACAAGTTCTGGACGCCCAACGTTCCCAATCAGTATGTATCAAGCAAGAAATTGAAAGGTATTCCAGTCCGCCGGTCTATATCTCTAGATCTTGCTGAATTCCGATATTTGGTGGAAACGCTGATTGCCCTCCGGAGCTGTGTGAAGGACACTTCTTGGCTTGCCGGAGAAGACGGATCCAAATTGGAGGCAAACTGCCAACAGTTTATGCTTTCACTTTCACTGTTCTTGAAGACACTTGTACATGGTGTATGGCGTGGCAAGAAATCGATGGGCTGGAAACTTCGGAAGATTGTTGAGTTGTCGCATCTGTTGCAAGATATTATCCAGTGCGGAAGTGCTGATGGGACAAACTCCTCTACTGGTGAACGTCTCCTCAAGTGGATAGCAAAGCTTCCAAGCAAGACTGTTCAGCAGCGATCGTCAGAGACTCATTCCGGACAAACAGCTGCTCGCTTCCATGAGATGCTACTTCTGAAACAAGTTGTTGGGGCATTTGAATGGTTGTCTCAGTACTGGATGCCAAAGCCGGAGCAACCTATCTCTCCACCCATCAACGAGGGATCAGCGAAGAACTCAGTCAGTGCTAGTGTCCCTTTTGTCCTCAATTCTGTTACTGGTGAAGTTTTCCTATCCTCAGATACAAGATTCTCAAAACCCATGATTGTTGCACCTGTGTCACCAACTGTTCTGTCATGGTTCAAGGATGCCCAAAGGTGCAACCAGATTGGCGGCCTTATCCACATCCAGACCGAGGCTAAGGTAGATGGAGAGCTCTGCCGAGCACATGCCAATTACAGTAGGGGTGGCGTGTGGTTTGATTATGTTGCTCTCCAAACAGCCACCAGTGGTGAAGTTGCTTTCCCTTGCCGCATTGCTGCCATTTATGCGGATGCAACTATTCCAGGTCCTGTTGAATGGAAGGCACTACTGCACTGCGCAGCACAGCCAAAAGCTGCTAGCTTGGTGCAGAAGGACTCTTGCTCCCAACTGTTCTCCCATTGGACTCTTGAGTCAAGGCCTAAGCGTTTGCGGGACAGGAAAAATGAGATAATAATATATCATGAGGCCTTGTTCCAGGTCTTCTCACTTGAAGACCTTGCAGTCCGCATATATTGTGTCGATATCTGTTCTGATAGTTTTGGAGACTGCTTCATCCGAAAGGCCATTCATGATAGGCCGAGAAGTTACGACATCCTTTGGACTGGTAGAGATGGGTGGGCTGAAACATTCTTGTCATCACCCAATTTTTTGAGGAGCACATCAGCTACTACAGGCACCAAAAAGGATAGGAAGAGAAAGTCCAGAGGTCCCAGATAGTAGATCAGTAATCATGCCACGACACATTAACCATTTTTTGATAGTCTACATCCTTCGCCTTTTGCTACTTGTGTCACCTGGACTGTATGATCTTCGCTGTACTTCAACCACATTTATTCCATGGGCAATGTATAGCTTCCGGCTCTGATTGCCTGGGATGATAGTTCCATGGTGCCTTGCACTAGCTCTTAGGGTAACAACATCACCAGGGCAACACTTGAAAATACGTAGATTGCTTCCATTCTTGGTACACTCATCCCAGCATTTATGATGGAATTCCCTACATGCCTCCTGTTCTTGCACTGGTAGTTTTCTAACCCAATCAAGGAAGGATACATAGTCTTCATCAGCCAATGCGTTGGTATCCCAGCTTTTGAGATTCCTCAATGAACAGATAAAAGTGACCCTCAACGGGGACAAACCGAACGACATCTGAAACCCCACCCTTATCCAAATGCCACCCAAACATTGTGGAGCAGGAAATGTCTTCGGTGTCATAGGCTGGAGAGTGGAATGTGCCCCCAGGTAGTTCAAACCGCCTCTCTGTGAGTGTGGCATGCAGATCAACACAGTCCTCCAGGGAGGGTAGTAGGCGACCATGCTTTCTTTCTGCTAATGTTGCCAACCTCAGATCAGTGGCACCGTTGCAATCTACCTCTCCAGCCAATTTGTTGTATGCTTGATGAGATACCATGTATCCAACATTATGGATGTGAGCGTTCAAACCACGGTCCACAGGGTCAGAATTTCGAGTAAAAGTTTCTCGTGTAGCTCCAGTTTCAAGTGCCCTTTGGCATATGTCTTTCATTTCCTCTAGGAGTTCACTGTTGCTGTTGGAAAGCAAACCAGATACCCGCCTTCTCACCTGTAGACCCTCCATGTCCATCCGACTAGCAAATTGTTTCACAACATTGTTGACCATGTAGCTGCTTAGATTTTTGAATTCCACACCAAGAATGGGGTGGCAATTGTCTTTCCGCCACATGGGCTTGTTAGAAAACGCCCTAGCCCCCCCACCACTGTACTCCATGTAAATGTAGAACTTGCAGAGAATGTGTTCTGCATCAAAGACATTTGCCTTCATTCCTGAATATGTAACCATTAGTGCTCCTGTCCTGCTGTCTACATGAAGCCAATCCATGAAATCACCAAACAGTTTCACACGAACAGACAACCACAACAGGATCAGCTGCTCTTCAGATTTGGTTCCATTGGTTTGGACTTTTCTCCTGTTCAACCATTGCACAAGTGCAACAGAATCCAGGAGATCTGCACCATACTTTGAGCCCTTGCCCCGGAACGAAGTCACTGCTGATCCAAAAGGCTCCCCAGCTAGCAACATGTCTATGTTGCTAAGCATTGATGCCACTTGATGTTTTGATGATGGCAGCTGATGATAGCGATCAAAGCTTTCCATTAAAAACTTCACACAAGATTCGAAAGTAAGATCACAATTTGTGCACAGTTGGTCCAAAAGCACTTTGGATATGGACCATATGGCCCTTACAACAGTGATCAGATCCGATGGTTGTTTTATGAAATGTTTTTGACAATACTGCCCATGCAGGAACCGTTTCATGATTCGTTTACCATCCACCTCACCCTGCTGACCTGCTATTGTAATCAATTCCAAAAATGATTCCAGTTCAGGTTCAGTTGAAGGGAAAATCCATTGGTAATGATCCGTCTCCACATTTTCCCCTTGCTCCTCATCTGAGTAACTGCTTCTCCACAGATGTAGTGTCCTTGCATTGCCAATTACCTCAGTTAACATACAGTGCCGGACCAGTCGCAAAGGATCGTCTTTAATAGGCTGCCTTATCCAATTCATATTCCGGGACAAACGCTCTGTTGATGGATATTCTTCAAGAAGCATTGCAACCTTGGCATCCACACAACGTAGGGGAGAAGGGAAAGGATGATTTTGGAATATTGGACCAATGGTAGACAAGTAGGCTGTGTTTTCAGAAGCATTTACAAAACTTCTTTTGTACATTGGGATTTCAAACTGGCTGTCTTCATATTGGTCGACAAGGGGACCGACCTTTCCGTTTGTGTCAACATTTAGCCGGGTGGCCCGAAAGGCAGTGGCAAGAAGCATTCCTGAAAGGATCAGTGGCATATTTTGTGGATTGATAGTTCTCCTGGATGGTTGGGTCATTATGAGTTCACTGTTGTTGAGAGGATCATCCAGAACTGTTCCGATCTCCTTATCTGCACCAATGCAAAATTCATCCGGTTTTGAATGATGGGGGATGGGGAAGCAGATGCATCGTTTATCTTCCATTTTGATCTTGAAGTCATTTTTGTGAGGCACAGATGCTTGATTGATGGGCACCAATGTGATACAGAAACACTTCTGTGACCGAAAGGAAAGATTAGCAATGGTAAGCTCAGAGTGGCTAATTTCTGAACCGTACTTCTCCTTTACAGCATTAAGGTAAGATTGCATCTCTGTCAAGCTCATTGGTGGAACAGTCGCAGCTGATTGCAATCTGTAGCATCCACAGTAGCCACTTTGAGTATACTGTCCACCATCGGCACACTCACCAACTCTTTCACTTTCAGGTAACTGGTGATCTGTCACAAAAACGTGAACTACCTTGTCAAGAAGACAAGCCGTCAAAAGGGCCGCATTGTGTTTCTCTCCAATGGACTGTATAGTTGGCATGATGTGTGAGACCCCAGCTGATCCATTGGCAACAACTACTGGTGCATCCACAACAGGACCTGAGGCACCAGGGGATGAGAGGGCCCCACCCCTAAGATAAACGTCAAAACCTTTTCTATTTTCTGCAGAAAGAAAATCTTGATATGGCCCACGCCGTTCCCGCAGGTTTGAAGACAAGAGACTGGCCCGAAGTGGCTTGGACAGGTGAATGCAATTCAGTGTCATTGGATTGCTACCAAAGGGTTCGACTATTCGTCCGTTATCTGTCAAACCAAACATGGATCCCACGTCCTGACGATCCACAAAGTCTCCCGCTTTTGGCTGCATTCCATTGCCGAATCTTGTACCCTGCCAGAATACACGACTGTTATCCTTCACCTGTACACCAACACGGTAACCATCCGCTTCAAACTTGGAAAGAACAGGACCAGAAGAGATTTTCATGGCAAGTGGAGTCTTGTCCATGGCCAGTGTTGGTTTCTTTTGCAATGGGTACTCAGGGGGTAGGGGACCAGCATGCGCTCTTGTTCCATAATTGGCTTTATTCAAGTCAGATATTTTGTGGAGTAGGGCTGATTGATGCTTCTTCCGATGGTTCAATTCGTCTATGCCGGCAACAACAGTTGTGGGGAGCACTTGTTTATATGCATTGTTGGAAGAGTCATCATCAGCAAGAAGGCCAGGAAAATGGGCAGCCAGACCTTCACGAGCAGTACTCGACAGAGGAGAGGCCGACTTTAGAAAGTTGATTCTGATGGTGTACTGCCATTTGTGGTCAAATTTTTGGAGGTTTGGGAAACAAGAAAGAAGACGATTCATACCCTCTTTCTGAAGTTTCCCAGGGGATTCTCTGCAGGATACAGTGAGTCGGTAGAACCTTGCACCACCTTTACATTGCATCCTTGTTGCAGCCTTGTGGCGGAGTTTCACCTGGTTGTAGTCACCTTGCCAATGAATTCCAGCAGGGCCCAGCAATACATTCTTTACTCTATGCATTGATGATGCTCCACTTCCTTGTCTGAAGGATAGAGCACAATTCCCTTGGTCGCTATTTTGAAAGAACGCAGTAGGGACCCTAAGATGGCGTTTCTTGAAGGAACTATTTGCTGGAAGGCTTGCATCTTCAGAGAATAACATATCCCTTTCGTCAGAATGCCAGCCAAATCCATCTGTTCAATTCAAAACAAAAAGATATTGTTGAGCTCACAATGAAAAGGAGAGATAAGGAAAAAGGTCTCACAAAATAACATACCATTTCCAACTGCCAGTACTAGTAAATTGTAAACCTTAGGCACAGGTGTGTTCTTTTCAGCGTAGACACCACCTCTGCGGTTTGTGTAGTAGTCTCCAATGAATTTGGACCTACATTGCTCCTCTGAATTCATACACTGTAGTATAGCCTTCTCCCATTCAGTGCATGGATGGGCCCGAATGAGTTGTGGAGGTTGGGTTCCAAAAACAACAAAGACTTCATCACATTTGTCATGATCAAGATCCTCCAGAGCATCCACAGAGCTCACGCGTAACAGACGGTCTGGGGCATTGCCTGATCTTGTTGGATCGACCATATATTTGCCCTCATCGATGCCCTTGAAATAAGTCCAAACTAGAAACGGTATTGAAAAACACTGACCATGCAGCAGGGACCCACATGTCACATTGTCAAAGTTCAGCATCTCCAGCAGAGGTTTTGCCAACTTGACAGAGTCATGAAGGAACTGCAATTCAGGAGGCAGATTCCTCATATTGTATTTGTGATACATGTCTGGTATGACAACTCTGGCTTTCTCGTCGATGGCATAGACCAGACTAGAACGGTGTTCCAGCCATTTCCTTTCTGCATGCGGTTGTGGTATTGGCTCACATTCATTGAGCCAAAGCTTTCCTATTTCATCAATACTGGGACCTCCTCCAGGGGCCGTCTCTGCATTACTGTCTAAAGTCCTCCAAATGTATCCCACACGCCAGTTTATTGTTGACAAATTGATCCTGTCAAACCTGCTGGCCTGTGGATTGTAAACACCATGGAGTACACCTTTTTGCCAAAAGCTTTTTTTTCCAACAAGGCTTTTGGTCCACTTTTCTTCGAATTTGGGAGCCCAGAAAGGAGCAAGCTTGCGATGAAGAATTCCAGTCATATGGTGGATGGTCCTTTTTGAATCAAGAGGAAGCTGTTGGATCTTCCATTGATTGCCCAAACTGGAATCACAGTCATCTAATTCAATACTATGATCATTAGTGTGGTCCAATTCCTCATTGGACGCCACAATTTCAAAACCATGGTGGTAAGTTTGAAAAAAAAGGACATCCTCGACTGACAGATGAGTCATTTGAAAATCACATAGGGACATTCCACATAGTGATGACAAAATCTCTTGATCGTCCAAAAGATTGATGCTGACGGAGAAATCCTCCTGAGAAGATTCAATGCTTTGGAAGGCTTGCACCAGCTTCTCAATTAGGTTTATTCCTTTGATGTAGTGCGCTGAGTTTCCTTCTTCTGTCATGATGAGGGAGAATACAAAAGAAAAGGAACACGGTTGAGTGTGTCTTGTCTTGCTTTGCTTCGTTTCAGAGCTGAGTTCATAGCAAGTTTTTTTTTGGGTGTCTCGCTAATTCTTTGTTAATTCGCCCACTCGCCCGAATGCTTAAGTAAATACAAGCAAGCATGGTCGAGTAAACGGTTTCAAACTATCAGCGAGGATGCCCGAAAATCTGAACTTGATCAAGTTCAGATTTTCGGGCATCCTCGCACTCCAGCTCCAGCAGAAGGGAATCGAACCCGCGACTACAGTGATCAGACTGGTTGTGTTACCACTGGGTCTGTCCGTTGACGAATTTTTTGCGAAAATGGTAATATATAAATTTTTTTTAATTTGGAAAATATGTGCGCGCCATTTCAAGTTCTGCACCAGTGCGCGCCATTTCAAGTTCTGCACCGGTGCGCGCCATTTCAAGTTCTGCACCCTTTGGAGCGCCAAAAAAAACCGAACAATGGTGCATCTTGTGTGGACCTTGTACAGTACAGTACCATACCTGCGGTCAGGTGCGCCATAATAAAATAGCACACACTTGTGTAGAGCCAGTACAGTCAATTGGCAGGCGACATGAACCCATATCCGTTGGGAAGAATGAGGGACACGTAGCTGGAAGGCCACTCTGAAATTGGCGGCAAATGCCAGCATCTCATCCAACAAATGAATGCATCTCCCAAATGTTTTCATAATTTGAGAAATATGACAAACGAAGACACAAGTTTGGCAGCAGTAACCGGAGCCGATCCTCCTCAAAATCGACGAGTTGTTGCTGTGAGGCAGCAGGATGAAGCCCTTCAATGGACCTTAAAATATGAGGTTTGGGATTCAACATGTAAACGACTTGTTACTAAATCTTTGTTTCTATACCAGCCGATCATTACCAATCCTCAACAACTCAATGCATATGAGAGGATTTTCAGCGAGCTTAGGCGTAGGATGGGTAAGAATGTTCCAGAGGATGTTTTCATTGGGTGGTGGCAAGAGAGTGGGAGGAAGGTGTACAGTAGAGCCTTGAACCAGAAACGTCAAACATTAAGCAACAACATAAAGTTGACAGTGATGAGTAAGTGACATGTTGTGGTTGAGCAAAAGATTTTGTTGTTGCTGACTGAGCTGATCTCTAATACTACTATTCAAACTTGTAGAGAAGCTCAAGGTGTGGAAGGCAGGGGGGTTCCAGGAAGGTGGAGGCCCACCAAACCCAAGGGATCTGTTCAGAAGCAATATCGCTGATGGGAAAACTGTCATCACAGGTTTACGGGAGAATGGTGATGCCTACATTTCATTCTTGCGGGATTTTGGCAAGACTGTTTATGGGAAAAAATTTGATAAACTCTCGAAGACAAGGGCTTTGAACAAATTCTTCCCAGGTGTCTTGGAGGCATTCTTATTGATTGCGTATGAAAATGGATATGCAAGGTGGAAACAAGAGGTGCTAAAGGGTCCGGAAGAGGAGAACACCGTCCCATTCAAATTCACAAGTAGTGCCAAAGGGTCAAGATGTCATGAGGGCTGGGGTCGTCCTGCAACACAGCTCTATACTACACTCTACGAGACAATTGGGAGGCAAAGGATCCGTTCTGGTCTCGGTTCCGAATTTGATAGGAGATTCATGATTAGTGGGCAGGTAGAGGTGGTGCTGAGCAATGGCAGAGATGCGGTTCCAGACGATTGGGGAAACTTTGAATTGTTTAATGCTGATGGTGAAGAATCAATAGGAGTCTAATTGAGAGAGTGAAAATAGTTCTTTCGTATACTAGCACCATGAGTACAATTACTTTTCCAATTTACTTACCATACAAAATGTATATTTTCAAACACCTACTTGGAGAACTTGTTTCTTGGAGCTTAGTCTTACAATGGAAGGCAGTGTTTACAAGTTGAAGTTATTTCCTACCTGTGCCAATGGTTGGAAAGCATTCAAAACAAGAATAAAATTCCATAGTAGTATGGGGTCTGATGATACAAAGAATTTCAGAAACAGCTTTTGGGAAACAAGTGTTGCAATACATGGCAACATAGGAATTCTATTTGTCTCAAAATAAAACCGTGTGGAAAAACTTTAATTGAAATCTTGACATCAACGTCTGAATTTGTTCTCTGAATTTTGTAGTCACAATGATGACAGAAAATAGAGATTGAAATTTCACCGTCAAAGTCTAAATTTGTTTTCTGAATGTTGAGATTACATTCAAATGTGAAATCTGAGCTAAAACTATGACATTTGAAAGGACAATGCAACCCTTGCATAATCCAGTTGCAAGCTCTGCCTGCAAACTCCCCCCGTTTGAAGGTAGCCAGCAAATTCATGCAAAACACTAGAGCTGCTTTAAAATAAATTGAAGGAATTTTTGCATACCGTTTTGGTCTCTCTGATGCAGTTGGGAAAGAAGACAGAAACAAAGATGCACAGGGACATCGACCAAAAGATCTATATATATAATATATATTGCTCTATCGTGTATCGACCAATAGTTTTATTCGTGATGGTTTGCCGTCCAATACTTCACGCGGCTGGGGCATTCTTCATTGTCAGAGGTATGTTGGCAACAAACCCCTCTACATGTCGTAGTCGCATGTCACATCCTTGATCCACAAAGAAAATCAAAAGAGACATTAGATACTCGAAACATTGGTTCGCGGTCGACACATTTCCAATCTCCCGTTCGATCACAGCAATGTTGTTGATGAGAGCGAACTGAAACAATAGATTATGTTCTAAATCACATGATTCGTATGCCAGCTCGTACAATTGCTTCGCTCTCATCAACAGGCGCATTCGACTGCGATGGCAATCGTTTTGCTCTCCCAATACATGATGAGCGAGGGCGGCATTGAAGACCAAAATGGCGGTAAGGATCGTTGAGTCGATCCCTTCTTCTGTGGTCCGAATGATGATGGCTTGGTCGTAGATGAAAGTGTGGTTGCTCGTTGCAGCGGCAGATTGATGCTCAGCAGTATAGAGAACAAGCATGCACTCATCCAAACATCCACTGCTTTGATCGTTTGCAGTTCCTCCTTGAGCAAGAAGTGTTCGATTGCAGCTCAATGCAAGTATGGACGACTCGAGAGCCCTGGAGAAGTCGTTTCTTTGTAGGAATGTAACTGTAGCATTGTTTTGCTCAATCAACGTCTTGCTGTTGAGAGTCATAATGTTCAAATGGCCTCTTACAAAATTGTGAAAGAAAAAAAACATGTTCTTACAAGTTTTTTCTCCTGCTGGCGCCGCTCCTTCGCTTTCCCCATCCAACGAATATCATCGATAGTCTCTCGTTTCTGATCAATGAACTTTCAATCCGTTTATTTGAAAAAAAATCATATGGTAAAAGTGCTAACCGGTAGTCAACTCGAATGTTGGAGAACAAGGGCATTTTTGTTGGAGAGATCAAATATTGCAATTTTTGGCACACATTGGCGCTTATTGCACTTAATTAAAGAACACGTGTCGCCGTTCGGTCTCCGTGTGCTCACGATAGCACTCCAAGAGATCAGGCAGTAGGCGGTTCTACCTGCCGGTATTCAGCATACCGAACGCGCTGCTATTGGTAGGGAGCACTTCTTTCCAACGAATTCGTGAAAATATCCCTTTCCCGGTCTCGTTTGTAGAAAGGTGGACTTGTAAGCATACCATAGGCGCCACTTATGTGCCGCGGCAGCATTATCATGGATACGAAAGTATGGTACCGGTACACGTGTACCAGGTACACGTGTACCTGGAACAAATCCCGAAAAAATGCAATGTGGGCGACATTGATAATCGAGGATAAAACATGATATTGGAAATGGAGAAGCAAGTGCATTGGAGATGCTGGTGATTTAATGGAAGAGCAACATAATACTTGTTGGAGTCAGCCCTGGCATTGATCTCACAAAATCAATGATGTGAAGCAACAATGGATCTCGCATAAGATATATAGTTTCATCAAATACACGAAGTCTTGAATATTAATTAGAGTATTGTTGAAGAAGAGGAGAACAGTTTCTACGCGGCGTGGGATGGGCATTCTTGATAGTCAGAAGCCCCCTCGACATCCTTGTTGATCCACAAAGAAATCAGCAAAGATATTGGATACACTTTACCAATGTCTCGTTCGATCACAGCAATGTTGTTGATGAGAGCAAATTGAAAACAACAAATTTTGTTTGATCGCATTGAATATTATCAAAGATGCCTGTGCGGAAAAGAGACACTGAGCTCGACTTCATTTACTCCGAACAAGTTCGAATTTGAAAAGCCGCTTTGGTTATGCCGTCATATGGTTGAAATGAATGCAAACAGGACCTTCTGGCACTTGACCATAGTGAGTGCCGCTGTTGCACCGCCAACGCGAAAACATTGAAAACTCCTTTCAGGCTCATGCCGCAAACGCAAAAACATTGAAAACTGCAAATCATCGCCGTTCATGTTCATGGGGTTATACTGCTGCCAAACGTAGACGATTGCAGTTCTTCCTTGAGCAAGAAGTGTTCAATAGCAGCTCAATGCAAGTATGGACGACTCGAGAGCCCTGGAGAAGTCGTTTCTTTGTAGGAATGTTACTGTAGCATTGTTTTGCTCAATCAACGTCTTGCTGTTGACAGTCATAATTGGCAAGATGCAATATAGGAAGGGTATCATTTCCCCTTGGGATCATATTCCCTAATGCGATCCAGTTTCTGATCATGGAACTAGACGGTACTTACACGGTAGATGTGACGCGGGATCAAAGAATTGCGAAGTTTCCAAACGTGATTGTTATTTAGGGCATGGTCGTGGATCACATCTTTTGTGAAAAGGAGCCTGCGGGGTTTGCGACCAGAATTTCACACGGTCAATCAATGATCCCAGGGACCCTTTTCACACTCAATTTCGGTTCCATTGAACTTCCGTGCCGGTACAATGTCCGCTGTGTGCGTGGTATTTCCAGGATCTTTGTGCGTACAATGATTAGCACGGCAAATGCAAAGCAAAAATTGAACTTTAACTCAATGCTAACTAACACTCTGAAGTGCCGCCCGCAACAAGAAACTCGGAGGAAGTAAATATGTATTTGCTCTAGTGTTACTTATTGATTCAGCATTGCATTTCTCTTTCTTTCGCTCTGGCTTGTAGCCACAGGCGTCACGCAGCGGGGGCGTTCTTGATAGCAAGAGGTACATTAGCAACAAAACCCTTGACATGCTGTAGTTGAATTTCATATCCTTGATCCACAAAGACAATCAGAAGAGACATTAGATATTCAAAACATTGGTTTGCAGTAGACACATTTCCAATGTCTTGTTCGATCACCGCAATGTTGTTGATGAGAGCGAACTGGAACAACAGATTTTGTTCCAGATCACATGATTCGTATGCGATCTCGTACAAATTTTTCGCTCTCCGCAACAGACGCATACGAGTGTCAGGATGACAAAAACTGCGTTCTGCCATCTCATGATGCGCAAGGGCGGCATTGAAAATGAGAATAGTTATCAACATTGTAGAGTCAATCTCTATTGTGGTGGGAATGATCACAGCGTGTTCGTAGATGAAAGTACCGCTCGCTGCATTGACAGATTCGTTGTCAGTAGCAGAGAAAAGCATGAACTCATCCAAGATTCCACCTCTTGTTTGATATGTGCTGATTTGCTGTTCATCGTATATTCGACTGCTGTTGGTCAATGCAAGTATGGACGATTCGAGAGCGCTAGAAGCATCTTTTGCTTGTAGGAATGCAACTGTAGCATTGTTTTGTTCAATGAGCATTTCACTGATAGCCATTGTCATGTGAAAAATAGATTCTTCGGAAATTATGGTGGAATTCAGCGGCAGTATATTTTCTCGGATTGGCGGTTTCGCTCACAATGATGAGCCCGACGCGTTTATTTTATATATACGAGATATGAGAACACGCTTCTTTGACAATAATCGGACACGTCGATTTAAATAGGTTCGGCTACTATCTTGATCAGAAGTCTGCTCACTACTACTAGGTACCGGTGGAAGAGGATCAAACGCTTTTCAAACAGTTTGATTGTTGAGCTCGAATGCATGGATTGTTCGAATTGAGTCGCGAGAGAAAAAAAACGGTGAATTATCAATGTGAATGTTCAAATGTGTTTGCACTTCATCTCGAGCCATTCTTTGCAACCCTCCGGGAATCCGATATTTCGCGACTTTTTGAAAAACTTCATACAGTGACGACCACCCCTTCGTGGTACCGGTAACCTGTCTTCTTTCTTTCGGTAGCCTCTAACACGGCACCAGGTACGATCCGTACGTCTCTACTGTAGCCTTGAATATATTTTTTACATACAGTATGTTAATGTTTATTCTACGCTACAGGTACTATGAGAGGTGAGTCTGTCATGATCGCATTGCATAATATCAAAGATGCCTGTGCGGAAAAGAGACACTGAGCTCGACTTCATTTACTCCGAACAGGTTCGAATTTGAAGAGCCGCTTTGATTGTGCCGTCATATGGTTGAAATGAATGCAAACAGGACCTTCTGGCACTTGACCATAGTGCCGTTGCACCGCCAACGCGAAAACATTGAAAACTCCTTTCAGGCTCATGCCGCCAACGCGAAAACATTGAAAACTGCGAATCATCGCCGTTGAGGCTCATGGGGTTACTGCTGCCAAACGTACACGAAATATCGATACGAGGAGTGCCCAAGCGTTACAGTGTGTAGTATATTGTGCTGAAACGAAGCGTAATACGTGGCTAACTCGTTTCATTCTTTTTATTTTATTGAAAGATATATTTTTACCGTAAGCTATTTTTTATTTTAATATTATAATACTCGCGAGTTATTTTTTTTAATAAGTACGAAATTCGAAAGGCAACTAAATACACCAATTTATTCTAGGAGCATGCGTCGCCGCTCCAGATTGTGTTGAAGAATTTCAAGAGCTCGTGCAGTTTCCCTCCATTCGATTCCTCGTTCGTGTGCATTTCAAAGAATGCCACACTCATTGCTCACTCTACAGTTCCAATGAATGAATGAAAATTTCTCATTTCAACTATCAAGTATGGCTCGCGAGGGGGGCGCAGATGCACAGTACTAAATATGTATCGAACTAGGTAGTTTTAATCTTGATGGTTTGCCGTGCAAGATGTCACGCGGCTGGGGCATTCTTCATTATCAGAGGTATATTGGCAACAAACCCCTCGACATGTCGTAGTCGGATGTCACGTCCTTGATCCACAAAGAAAAGCACAAGTGACATTAGATACTCGAAACGTTGGTTCGCGGTAGACACATTTCCAGTGTCCTGTTCGATCACAGCAATGTTGTTGATGAGAGCGAACTGAAACAACAGATTATGTTCCAAATCACATGATTCGTATGCCAGCTCGTACAATTGCTTCGCTCTCATCAACAGACGCATTCGAGTGCGATTGCAATCGTTTTGCTCTCCCAATACATGATGAGCAAGGGCGGCATTGAAGACCAAAATGGCGGTAAGGATCGTTGAGTCGATCCCTTCTTCTGTGGTCCGAATGATGATGTCTTGGTCGTAGATGAAAGTGTGGTTGCTCGTTGCAGCGGCAGATTGATGCTCAGCTGTAGAGAGAACAAGCATGCACTCATCCAAACATCCACTGCTTTGATCGTTTGCAGTTCCTCCTTGAGCAAGAAGTGTTCGATTGCAGCTCAATCAACGTCTTGCTTTGAGAGTCATCAGAATGTTCGAATGGCCTCTTACAAAACTGTGAAAGAAAAAAGCATCTATCTCTACTCGTTTTTCTTCTGCTGGCGCCGCTCCCTCCTCTTTCTCCATCTGCAAACGAATATCATCGATCAGCATATAGTCTCTCTATTCTGATCAATGAACCTTCATCCGTTTATTTCATAATATATAATGCTATTAATAACCGGTAGTCAACTGCGAATGCTGGAGAACAAGTGCATTTGTGTTGGAGAGATCAGATATCGCAGTTTTAGGAACATATTAGCGCTTGCACTTAAAGAACCGGTTTCGCCGTTCGATCTCCGTGTGCGCTGGATAGCTGAATGTTTTGGTGGCAATGCCGTAGAGAGGAATACCGAGTTCGCTTTTGAATAGTATTCCGTGTGGTGCGATTCGGTTTCTGATCACTTAAGGCGGGTTCAAAAAAGTTTCCAAACGTTATTATCCCCACCGGATTTTAGCTCGTGAATGGAGAATTTAGTGTATTTTTAAAAAATTAAAGTACGCGGGATCAAAAAATGGGAAGTTTTCAAAGGTTATTTTTTATTTTAAGGTACACAGGGTAGTCTGCAAATGGTGGGTATGGCAGGACCCCCCGCAACTCGTCTATCGACCGACCGTTTCCGAATTTCACATCTCCGACTTCTTTGACTACTAAATGGTTTTCAATACACCCCTGGGCCGGGGCATTGTTGTAGCAAAATATTGTTTTTGATCGGTTTCGTGTTGCAGTGACGTGTTTCGATTTCTTTGATCGGTTTCAAAATCGTTTGATCGGTTTCGTGTCGCAGTGACTTGTTTCGATTTCTTTGATCGGTTTCAAAATCATTTGATCGGTTTTGTGTCGCAGTGACTTGTTTCGATTTCTTTGATCGGTTTCGCTTGATCTGTTTCGATTTCTTTGATCGGTTTCGAAATTTCGTGACATCATTTTTAATTTTAAAAACTGCGACGTACGATAGCCACATCATACTCGGATGGAGCCTTACGAGTCTCCGCATATTATCATCAAATCAGTCTCTTTCATGGACGAGCCGCCCATCAACCATCTCGTTACTCCATCGGAGATGATGGAATCTGGCCTTGCTCTGAAGGGCTACAGCAAAAGGCGAATCAAGCGTGCCAAGTTTCAAACACCACTTCAGAGTTTCTCCCTGCACTGCAGTTTGAGTGTACACCGACACGCAAATCACCAACATTGCAGGCGCAAGGATCAAGGGAGGAGTACTTGACCCTAATGTTTCTTGATTGGACAACTGTACTATCTACGAAAGTACCTATCCGAAGATGAGTTGACGTCCCAGTTCGACTCCAACTATTGGGTAAGAGAGAAAGATTGTGGAACTGCCCTCGGAGATCAAGGCTACAACAGAGAGCCAAAACACATGAGCACCTACAACACACATGGCAATGCTGGTGTCAGGCCCTTCAAGAGTCGAGCTCTCAAGAGACACGATAATTTCTACAGTCTGTTGAAGCAAAACAAGATCTTGGAGACGCGATTTCGACACAACGAAGAAAGATTTGCTTCAGCTTTCGAGGCTTGTTGCGTCTTGGCTCATTATCTGATCACAAGAGAGATGTCACTATACGATATTATGATCGAGGATGCTGTAGAAACTTATGAAGGGGATAAATAGAAACTGTCTTGAGTAGGGCCCCTAATTGTATTTACTTTGCATCACATTCTAGTAGTCATCTTTACCCTCTTCATCTCTTGGTTCAGCATATTGATGTAGTTCGTCTTCATCCTCATTATTGTGATTGTCGTCTGTATCCTCTTCTTCAAGAACTATGCCATGCTGCGTTGT